TGCTGCGCTTCCTGCGCCGCGCCTCCGCAGCGCTGCGCATGCCCTACCACGTGCAGGTCGGTACCTCTAGCTGCAGCAGTGCAGGTCGGTACCTCTAGCTGCGGCACGTGACGTGTGCGCCGCGCTCGTGCTGCGCTTCCTGCGCCGCGCCTCCGCAGCGCTGCGCATGCCCTACCACGTGCAGGTCGGTACCTCTAGCTGCAGCAGTGCAGGTCGGTACCTCTAGCTGCAGCAGTGCAGGTCGGTACCTCTAGCTGCAGCAGTGCAGGTCGGTACCTCTAGCTGCAGCAGTGCAGGTCGGTACCTCTAGCTGCAGCAGTGCAGGTCGGTACCTCTAGCTGCGGCACGTGACGTGTGCGCCGCGCTCGTGCTGCGCTTCCTGCGCCGCGCCTCCGCAGCGCTGCGCATGCCCTACCACGTGCAGGTCGGTACCTCTAGCTGCAGCAGTGCAGGTCGGTACCTCTAGCTGCAGCAGTGCAGGTCGGTACCTCTAGCTGCAGCAGTGCAGGTCGGTACCTCTAGCTGCAGCAGTGCAGGTCGGTACCTCTAGCTGCGGCACGTGACGTGTGCGCCGCGCTCGTGCTGCGCTTCCTGCGCCGCGCCTCCGCAGCGCTGCGCATGCCCTACCACGTGCAGGTCGGTACCTCTAGCTGCAGCAGTGCAGGTCGGTACCTCTAGCTGCAGCAGTGCAGGTCGGTACCTCTAGCTGCAGCAGTGCAGGTCGGTACCTCTAGCTGCGGCACGTGACGTGTGCGCCGCGCTCGTGCTGCGCTTCCTGCGCCGCGCCTCCGCAGCGCTGCGCATGCCCTACCACGTGCAGGTCGGTACCTCTAGCTGCAGCAGTGCAGGTCGGTACCTCTAGCTGCAGCAGTGCAGGTCGGTACCTCTAGCTGCAGCAGTGCAGGTCGGTACCTCTAGCTGCAGCAGTGCAGGTCGGTACCTCTAGCTGCAGCAGTGCAGGTCGGTACCTCTAGCTGCGGCACGTGACGTGTGCGCCGCGCTCGTGCTGCGCTTCCTGCGCCGCGCCTCCGCAGCGCTGCGCATGCCCTACCACGTGCAGGTCGGTACCTCTAGCTGCAGCAGTGCAGGTCGGTACCTCTAGCTGCAGCAGTGCAGGTCGGTACCTCTAGCTGCAGCAGTGCAGGTCGGTACCTCTAGCTGCGGCACGTGACGTGTGCGCCGCGCTCGTGCTGCGCTTCCTGCGCCGCGCCTCCGCAGCGCTGCGCATGCCCTACCACGTGCAGGTCGGTACCTCTAGCTGCAGCAGTGCAGGTCGGTACCTCTAGCTGCAGCAGTGCAGGTCGGTACCTCTAGCTGCAGCAGTGCAGGTCGGTACCTCTAGCTGCGGCACGTGACGTGTGCGCCGCGCTCGTGCTGCGCTTCCTGCGCCGCGCCTCCGCAGCGCTGCGCATGCCCTACCACGTGCAGGTCGGTACCTCTAGCTGCAGCAGTGCAGGTCGGTACCTCTAGCTGCAGCAGTGCAGGTCGGTACCTCTAGCTGCAGCAGTGCAGGTCGGTACCTCTAGCTGCGGCACGTGACGTGTGCGCCGCGCTCGTGCTGCGCTTCCTGCGCCGCGCCTCCGCAGCGCTGCGCATGCCCTACCACGTGCAGGTCGGTACCTCTAGCTGCAGCAGTGCAGGTCGGTACCTCTAGCTGCAGCAGTGCAGGTCGGTACCTCTAGCTGCAGCAGTGCAGGTCGGTACCTCTAGCTGCGGCACGTGACGTGTGCGCCGCGCTCGTGCTGCGCTTCCTGCGCCGCGCCTCCGCAGCGCTGCGCATGCCCTACCACGTGCAGGTCGGTACCTCTAGCTGCAGCAGTGCAGGTCGGTACCTCTAGCTGCAGCAGTGCAGGTCGGTACCTCTAGCTGCAGCAGTGCAGGTCGGTACCTCTAGCTGCGGCACGTGACGTGTGCGCCGCGCTCGTGCTGCGCTTCCTGCGCCGCGCCTCCGCAGCGCTGCGCATGCCCTACCACGTGCAGGTCGGTACCTCTAGCTGCAGCAGTGCAGGTCGGTACCTCTAGCTGCAGCAGTGCAGGTCGGTACCTCTAGCTGCAGCAGTGCAGGTCGGTACCTCTAGCTGCGGCACGTGACGTGTGCGCCGCGCTCGTGCTGCGCTTCCTGCGCCGCGCCTCCGCAGCGCTGCGCATGCCCTACCACGTGCAGGTCGGTACCTCTAGCTGCAGCAGTGCAGGTCGGTACCTCTAGCTGCAGCAGTGCAGGTCGGTACCTCTAGCTGCAGCAGTGCAGGTCGGTACCTCTAGCTGCGGCACGTGACGTGTGCGCCGCGCTCGTGCTGCGCTTCCTGCGCCGCGCCTCCGCAGCGCTGCGCATGCCCTACCACGTGCAGGTCGGTACCTCTAGCTGCAGCAGTGCAGGTCGGTACCTCTAGCTGCAGCAGTGCAGGTCGGTACCTCTAGCTGCAGCAGTGCAGGTCGGTACCTCTAGCTGCGGCACGTGACGTGTGCGCCGCGCTCGTGCTGCGCTTCCTGCGCCGCGCCTCCGCAGCGCTGCGCATGCCCTACCACGTGCAGGTCGGTACCTCTAGCTGCAGCAGTGCAGGTCGGTACCTCTAGCTGCAGCAGTGCAGGTCGGTACCTCTAGCTGCAGCAGTGCAGGTCGGTACCTCTAGCTGCGGCACGTGACGTGTGCGCCGCGCTCGTGCTGCGCTTCCTGCGCCGCGCCTCCGCAGCGCTGCGCATGCCCTACCACGTGCAGGTCGGTACCTCTAGCTGCAGCAGTGCAGGTCGGTACCTCTAGCTGCAGCAGTGCAGGTCGGTACCTCTAGCTGCAGCAGTGCAGGTCGGTACCTCTAGCTGCGGCACGTGACGTGTGCGCCGCGCTCGTGCTGCGCTTCCTGCGCCGCGCCTCCGCAGCGCTGCGCATGCCCTACCACGTGCAGGTCGGTACCTCTAGCTGCAGCAGTGCAGGTCGGTACCTCTAGCTGCAGCAGTGCAGGTCGGTACCTCTAGCTGCAGCAGTGCAGGTCGGTACCTCTAGCTGCAGCAGTGCAGGTCGGTACCTCTAGCTGCGGCACGTGACGTGTGCGCCGCGCTCGTGCTGCGCTTCCTGCGCCGCGCCTCCGCAGCGCTGCGCATGTCCTACCACGTGCAGGTCGGTACCTCTAGCTGCAGCAGTGCAGGTCGGTACCTTTAGCTGCAGCAGTGCAGGTCGGTAGCTCTAGCTGCAGCAGTGCAGGTCGGTACCTCTAGCTGCAGCAGTGCAGGTCGGTACCTTTAGCTGCAGCAGTGCAGGTCGGTAGCTCTAGCTGCAGCAGTGCAGGTCGGTACCTCTAGCTGCAGCAGTGCAGGTCGGTACCTTTAGCTGCAACAGTGCAGGTCGGTAGCTCTAGCTGCAGCAGTGCAGGTCGGTACCTCTAGCTGCAGCAGTGCAGGTCGGTACCTTTAGCTGCAGCAGTGCAGGTCGGTAGCTCTAGCTGCAGCAGTGCAGGTCGGTACCTCTAGCTGCAGCAGTGCAGGTCGGTACCTTTAGCTGCAGCAGTGCAGGTCGGTAGCTCTAGCTGCAGCAGTGCAGGTCGGTACCTCTAGCTGCAGCAGTGCAGGTCGGTACTTTAGCTGCAGCAGTGCAGGTCGGTACCTTTAGCTGCAGCAATGCAGGTCGGTAGTTCTAGCTGCAGCAGTGCAGGTCGGTACCTACAGCTGCAGCAGTGCAGGTCGGTACCTTTAGCTGCAGCAGTGCAGGTCGGTAGCTCTAGCTGCAGCAGTGCAGGTCGGTACCTCTAGCTGCAGCAGTGCAGGTCGGTACCTTTAGCTGCAGCAGTGCAGGTCGGTAGCTCTAGCTGCAGCAGTGCAGGTCGGTACCTCTAGCTGCAGCACGCGACGTGTGCGCCGCGCACGCCGCGCCGATACTTACGGGTGACGAAAGCTGGATTTATTGTTATGATCCTGAAACTAAGAGACAGTCTGCTGTCTGGGTGTTTCCTTCCGAAGAGTTGTAGACTAAAGTGAAGAGAGGTCGAGGCGTGGGAAAAAAAAGGTGGCCTCGTTCTTCGGAAGGACAGGTCATTACGCAACAATTGTTTTAGAGGATCGAGAAAGTGTTAGTGGTACACTAACAATTGTTTTGCCACTTGTCTTGGAAAAAGTTCGGGAGAAACGACCACGCAGTAGGATCCTCCTTCAGCAACGCCTCGTCGCACACCGCAAACAAGCAAACAATCAACTACTTATTACTATTTTGAAAAGATACAATAAAACTAATAACTTGCTAGTTTGTTCAGTTTTTGATGTTCTAAGAAGAGTCACCCTCGTATGTACTACGTATGAGAACACACACCGCCAACAATACACCCACAGATTACCATGAATTCCATATAAATATTCATTTCTATAGGAATCGGTTCCAAAATTTTGATTTTCACGACGAATTAACATTCACAAATCACCTTGACTTTGATCGAGAGAAGTCGAAAAACAAGAGTTCTTAAAATGGCGGTCACCTCACTTTAGCTACAATAACAAATTCATGTAAAAAATCATATGCATAGACCACTTAGAACACTAAGAACCGACAACTGATGGATAAAAAAAGTTCTCGAGATTTGAGTTTCGTATATATATCTGTTCGGATAGAATTTAGTAATTGATTTTAAACTAACTTCCTGATGAGCTAGAGAACTGAAATTTTGAGCATTGCTCAGAACTGAATGACAATACAAAAATAAGACCTACCTTGTATCTGTTCCTAGTATTTACGGAGTGAATATCATTTATTTTATTAAAACTACTTTTATTTTAAACCAACTCAAAAAGGAGGAGGTTCTCAATGCGTCTGAATCTTTTTTATGTATGTTCACTGATTACTCGAAGACGCCTGAACAGATTCGGAAAGTCCTTAATAATTTATATTGAAGTCGGTTGTACAAAATTTTTAAGTCTACCACTTGTTGTATTACATACATTACATTTTCGTAAATGTATTGAGACGCTAAGGTTATTATATTAATTTCCTAAAATTTAAAGTAGTGTATATTCTACCGTAGGGCCCGCCCGCGAAGATGTGTGACAAGGACCGATGCGCGGTGGTGGCAAAGCAGCTGAACGACTTTCTGTACCTGTACTGCCGAGATGCGGACCTGTGCACGGATGCTGAACGCCGCGAAGGATGCGTCTCCAACATTGACTTCGCACAATTCCTCTACTCTGCAAGGTGAGATCGTCACACCTGTAACTTTTGTATATTTATATCAGCTGGTGTTCAGAATAGAACAAGGGAGATAAAATAAAGCTCTTAAGAACTGTTACAAATACATTTCTGAAACAATTGCAGTAAGTACAATTCAGTTGCGTGCCCGTTAACAGTTTCCCTGTTCACGATATAGACACAATAGTTAAACAATCGAAATATTCTTATATGATTCATGCGACAGGGAAAGAGTTAAGATATTTTTTGAACTCGTCGTAACAAATATATACGTCATCATCATCACAGCCCTGCAAAAAGAGCCTCCCACAAAAGCACGGTCCTGAGCCTCCTGCATCAATATCGACCTCCTGCATGTCTTCCCAGATCGTCACTCCATCTAGTGGGGGACCGCCCTACACTTCGCCTATCGGTACGAGGCTGCCACGACAGTTTCGCAAAAACTCGATCACTGTGTTTTCGATAGCCTATTGATAGATTTATTGAATGACCAATGAGCACTTCCATGTGACGGAGTGGTAAACTGTCCATAGTCTAACAGCCATTGGTTAGCTTCAAAAATTGTTATCCGATTGGTTGGTACACGTGCGCTAATTCCTTGTCTTTGCAAATGCGGTAAAGACTCACTTTTGTATGATCTTTGCGCAAAACGTAAATTTTCATTGCTTAAAATATAACGCCGTAACATTTCATAGTATTCGCGATTCGAATATTTTCGTTGCGAAATTAACGTATGAAATTTTAAAAATAGGACACTGGTACGTAATGAGATCACGGTCAAGCGGACATTGTTGTCAGTGTGACATTTGTTGGGCCGGTCGGGGGAATGTACCTAGCAGTGAAAGAAAGGACGGGGAGACTTGTCCTTAGCGAGTCAAAACAACTATGAGATACCTAAATCTGTTACCGAGCGCAAGCGCCGAACTGACCGAACGCTACCGACTCTTTCCGAACTCAACATTCCCTTACGAAGGTGTGCGTTCGTAATAAAAAAGTAGGCGCTACATATTTATGAATGACAATCACTTAAAATAATGCATGTCCATACATTTTGAATATAAAAGATAAAATGGAGAAAATGTTTGAGTATTTTTCTTATTTATTATTTTCACCATTCGCTTACATTACCTATTCTGAACCTCCTCTGCAAATTTGGCCGGTTATTGCAAAATAAACCTGTATATATATTAAAAAAAGCTTTGGTCCCAATACTGATCCTTGGGGCACGCCCAGAATCAAAGGTGTTCCAGAAGACTCAGTTCCATTAATTTTTCTATTTCTGTTTCAATCGGCCAAGTATGATTTTTTATACGGGTAACCAAGTTTTATGAAACACCACAATGCCTTAAATTGTTTAACAGTGTATCATGATTTACGCAATCAAAGGCTTTAGAAAGGTCACAAAATGCTTATAGCATTGTTTAGGCCAAATATGGTCATTTGAGACGGCATCCAATCGCCTTTGACATAGCGAATCGCCCGATGGTGTGAGGTGTCGCGCGAGTCGCTGGTAGTGGGCAGCAGCGGTGCGGTCAATTAGCGTATTTTGGTTACCGCTGCATATATTTCGCGCGACCAGTTTTTTGGGTTTATGGTCTAGATTTTTAGTATTGGTGCGCGTTACTTCACTACTGAATTGTGGTTTCGTGAAGACCGCCTCGGTTTAGTTTGTCTAAGTTGTACGTTCGTGACAAGAGGCTTATTTTGAATTTTGCCTTTTGTGTGTTGACTCTTTAGTTACTTTGCGTGTCAGCTAGGTTGATTTTGAATTCTTATTGCGGCGTAGTATTTAATATAGTACGAAGGAATTTAGTTGTTGGTTGTAACGCTGAACTTTATGACTCGTGAAGAGATCGCGTTAGTTCCCTATTTGTAATTTGGTGATAAATGAATCCGGAACCTTGAATATTGAACTTTGAACTACTGTTCGTTACTTGTGTCGGGTATCACGTGTTTGATTTTACGATGAACGTTGAATTAGTTGAGTTGAAGTTAGTTAAATGTACAATAAAGTTGATAGACTGAAATAGTGACATGAAGAAAGAAGTTGTCACTTGGTGACGCCTGCTGGAGTGATGCAGCATTGTGGGGCAGCATGGGACCAGGCCGCTGCCCGGTCACCTCAGCTGGGCCAGGTCACATAAATATACACACCACTAAACACCACTTTACATACACCTACAACTACCTACGGCCTGACCGAGCCTTGGTGCGGTCTTAACTTCGGATCCAGGTACGTACTATTTATTTACCTAGCCTTCTCCCTATTGTGTAGTATGATAGGTCAATTCTCCATAAGGCCATTTGGGCCCGAACCCTCGGCTGCCCGTCGAGGAGGCTACTATGGGCCCTAGCCAAGGCGAGCTTTGCAGGGGCAGCTATGGGCCGCAACATTTTTGGTAGCAGAGCGTGGTTTGGATTGGTTTAATTTTGTGTCTACAATGCCCGGCCCTAATACGTAATAATAAAATTATTTTCCTTTGTTGCTTACTTCCTTTGTTTGTTAGCGGATAGGTGGGTAGATTAACCACGCCCGTTAGGTTGCGCAAGCGGGAGTTTGTTAGGGCTAGTTACGCGTCGGGTAGATAGATGGTTGTTATCACGTAATCGGAAAATTATCGTTGTCGTATAATTATAGTAGATTAATGTCGAAGGGTCGGTTGTCTGAGCGAGGCATTTCTGCTGAGCGACTGTGGTGTGTACCTTTATTTGTAGTGTAATTTGTGTTTAATTTAATACAGGGTTCGGAACCGGTTTAAAAAGAGCGGTTAATTTCGATTAATTACCGGTAAATTCATCGCTCCTTCAATTACCGGTTAAAAATTAACCGGTTTTTATTAAACCTAAACGATAAAGGTTACCAGTTACTTAACGGTATTGACACCCAAATTAACCGGTTAATTCCGTAAAACGTAAAGGTAGTTATAAATAGGACAGGTAAATTCACTTTGTGAGGTGCTTATGCGGCATCGCCGCATGCGGGCATACTTATCATCAATTATCTGCCTTTAAGCGATACGTTTTTTCAGTCGCGATCTAGTGGCTGTTTGGCGTTTACGAAAAACGTGAAAGTCTTAGAGAAGTTTTGAAGAAAGAAAGGCAATTATTGTGTTTGGTTTATTCGTTAAGACTGGACTTGTCTTATAACGAAGAAAATATATTTTTCTTGTGTATCGGTTGCTTATGTGTGATGGGCAGAAAAAAAGTAAATATTTACGTTTTAACAGTGGTAGAGTCACGCGGCAGCTTGCTGTCGCATGGATGGGCCAGCTCGGACCAGGGTAGTACAAGGACCTTACAGAATACCAGCGTGAAGTAGAAGTTTACTTTTACGTTTCGCTTGGTAAGTGTAGGTGGTCGGAGGCCCAATTTCCCCCTCCCTCCCCTTTAAAATATGATAGCGGAATCAAATAAAAAACTACCTCAGTAGGGTACCAGCATCCTAGTGACGGAGAATCCTTCGCTGAGCACCCACGCCCAAGCTACCCTACTGTTCCCATAGCGGTAATGCCGACACAGACCGACTCATCGACCACGTCCAAATGGCTGCAGACTCCGTGCTACAACAGGTCCCATCCGAAGAGATCGTGATACTCGGTGATTTTAACGTCCACCACGTCGAATGGCTCGGTTCACATTTAACCGATCATGTGGGGAGATTTTTTTATGACTTTGCCTTTGCATATGGTCTTACACAGCTGGTTACTTTGCCTACGCGGATTCCAGATGTGGAGGATTATACACTTTCCCTGTTGGAACTTCTGCTGACCTCATCCGGACGTATATCAGGTTTCCGTCGACACCCCTCATAGCTCCTAAGGCCATTGTCTTGTCCGGAGGTTGGTGTTTGAAGCAAATCTACCATGATTTGCTTCTCACCGGACAATAGCAATGGTGATGATTCTGTCGCTCATGTGGTACTTCAGGATATGGAACTTTTTATTCCATCTTCTGTGGTTCCTATCATAGGCAGATTCCAGCCATGGTTTGGTCGCTCATGTAAAATTGCATCACATTATAAGCAGGAATGCTACCAGGCCTGGGCTGACGACATATTTACATCCCGAGACGTTGATGTCTCGGGATGTAAACACCATCGCTCTTCAAAAGAAGTACAATTCCGCCTCCAGTGTAGAGAACCGGAGACCCTTTTTACTGGCAAAGAGGCATTCTATCTTAGTCCTCACGGGTGACAACGCATCTGTATCTTGAGTCTTTATTGAGGATAGATGTAGATGTCTATGGGTCACAGCAACCACTTACCATCAGGTGGATTGTGTGCTCGTTTGTCACCCGTTCCTGTAAAAAAAAATCGGCGGAGTTGGTGAGAGGCTAGTTCGCCTTTCTTCGGTAATCCGTGCCTTCTGGTCTCTTGTCAAGGCTGTCCAAGGGAACTTCTGTGAGCCATCTTTGCAAACAGAGGACGATTCACTGAGTTTTTTTTCTCTCTCTCTCGATGACGGGGGAACACACCGCCGACCATCCCGCGGTTTGAGTGTTTCATGCCAGATTTGTGGTTTACACAGCGCTCGGTTCGCAAAGCACTCCTCTCCCTGGTCGTCAACAAGTCGAGTGGGCCTGATGGAGTCCCTCCCATTGTGCTGAAGACGTGTACTTCGAAGTTGGCATCGGTTCTAACGTATCTTTTCAGGTACTTCTACTCCTAAGGCGTTGTCCCAAATTCCTGGGAGACAGCTTTGGTTCACCCGATCCCTAAAAAAGGTGACCGCTCAGACCCGTCAACCTACAGGCCTATCGCCATCACCTCCTTGTTCTCCAAAATAATGGAATCCATTATAAACAGTTTTCGTCGGGGTTGATCAGCTGGTGATCTTCTGGTCTATCTAATTCATAGATGGGCGGAGGCAGTAGAGTCCAAGGGGTACGCATTGGCCGTTAGTTTGATCATCATCAGCGATCATCATCAGCGAAGGCCTTCGATCGGGTCTGGCAGAAAGCGCTTCTTTTGAAGCTCCCTTCCTAGAGGCTTCCCGAGAAATTGTGCA